AGGAGGCATTCCCTAGAACTGAGCTCAGAAGGGGGGCAGGAATATCTGGAAATAAAAAAAAACTTCATACGCAATCTGTTCTCCACCTAAGGATTACTCCCACTTTGACAAATAGGAGATGTTTTACGCGGCTTGAAATGCACTGCCACCACATGCCCCCATATCTTGCGATTGCGCCCTATCACATACAATTGCACAATACGTGCTCGACACTGAATGGATATCGAATGTGTAGCGCATCCCAACTACACAACAAATAGAACAGAATCATCCCAACTACACAACAAATAGAACAAATAGAACAACTAATAGACACGGAAGGCCAATCATGACCATGGTCGGTCACACAGATATGTAAAAAACCTACGTCACGGTGGTGACATCATAAATGCAAGGTCCCATCAGTGTTGCCACAAAATGCTGTACCACGTAATCGTAGATGCGTGCCATATCTAAAAGGAGCCCAAAGATTACAAAAAAATTCAAGACTTGTAGGTTCCATGACTAATTAAAAGCACAATCTGGTGTAAGGCTCAAGGTCGTGGATGAAGTAGCTAACCCGCGCTTGCAGAGCTATTGCCACTGTCGTGACCCGAAAAAACATTATGACTTCGTTCACTCGGTTAGGGGTGTTTGCGGCTAATCCACGCTCAAAGGAAGGCTTCGATCTCAAAGTTTTGCTTTGGCCTTTTGGCGTTTTCCTTTAGATTTTTTCTTCACTGCAGAACCATTTCGCATTCACTGTCATTTTCTAACGTATTCCCCGTGATTGTATTACCTGCCTTCAATGTCCAGAATGCAAAAGAACAAACATGCTAATAAACTAGTTTTCACCTCCAGAAAGCTGTCCATTGCTTGGCTTCATCGGTGTAATAGGTGGATGATCGCCTTTGTCTTCTCCACCCTTAGGTTTCCGAATACCATCATTCAAGACCTGAACCGAACGGATTACTGTAAGTATTTTCCGCTAACATAAATGAAAAGTGTACCTTTTTCACTACGTCTCCCCATTTGGGATTGTTTGACTGTTGCTTCAGAGTTCCTACTAGATCGAAATTGGGAGGGTAAGCAGTGGTCTCAGTTCTGGGGTAAGAAATAAATCCCTGAGTATACAGTTGTTCAGCAACACTCATTGTTGACGCGGGGCTAATACCTAGAATATTTTTCCAATTAATCTAAAAATTGAGAGCATTCAGATCTCCTTCTATAAGGAAGCGATACATGATTTCCAAATGAATTCAGAACGAAAATTCGATCTTACCGAATGAACTGCTTGCAACTCTCATCAGTTCGACGGTGTTCAGAGCCGCAGGTCGTTCCTTACGGGCCTCCTTTCGTCGTTCTATCAGTAACCACTCCTTTTCCGGCATTCTGAATGTTTAAGTTATTCCCCGACGATGAAATTTTCCCAAAGGTTGGATGTTCAGTAACTAATGTTAAAAAACCAAAAGTATGGGCATGGTTTGCGACCGTTCCCTAGGGCCCTCGGTTAGTTCTGTGATAAGGCAAAGGACCAATGGAATTCTCTCTGAAGGCGGGGCGCACGGCTAATCAATCGTGATGTGCTTTTGAGTTGAAAACTGGCTGTTCTACATAACCTGCATTCCTCTACCGTCTCTCCTTCATAAGGCACTTGTAGCTTCCCAGCAACGCTGTCACATTTGCAGATATACAGGGGTGGCCAAAAAAAAGAGACACTTTCACATTTCAGACAGCATTAATCACACTTTGCTAACTCAAATCGACTGCTCCCAACTTAATATTGAAGAGCACATCCCAATCTATCAAAAACGTTATAATAGCTTTCTGCACCAAGGACATCACAAGAATTTGCCATGGGAACCTTGTGCACGGTTCGAGCTCAACTGGTCCTCGACGGATCATGGACCATTACGACGTTATCTGAAAGGCTGGTTGGGAGTGATTCAGAGCTACTGTCCCTAGGAAGCAATCTATCAGTGACCGATTGAAGAAAATTCGTAGCAGCTTCAGGCTGGAACGATTACGGTAGGCCTTCTTGAGCTCAACGGTGATGGAAGATGACGTCATTTTGAGGACAGTGAGGGCAGTGCCTGCTTCTACTTATGGAGAGGACATCTAAGGGATATTTGCCGTAAAACTTTCATCAACAGCGGCACCCTGTGCGACGAAAAGTTTGATGATGTGCGCCATGGGCAAAGTGTCTCTTTTTTTGGCCACCCCTGTACTATTTCCCTAAGAGCAGAGGTAGGCTTACATGAATGGATAGGATCTGATTCGAGAACCGCCCCACGAACATATTCAAAGAAGCGGCACCACTTGTCATTTCTCCACCTACGCCGAGTTGTGCTGCTAAGAAATGGAAGCTTACCTTGACACGTTCCAAAAACAACTGGCACACGTCTCTATCGAACAGACGACCGCGCTTCCACTCTGGTCGAATCGTGGTTCCGTCGGCAGTGTCGAACTTGCATTGTAATATCCAATAGGATTCTGGCTGAAATCAAACTAACGCTGAACATCTTCAGAAATGAAAACCAGATTGTCAAATCTCAAATTTGTCTAGACAAAAGTCTTGCCACAAATACCTACCGTTCAACATTTACGGTACTATTTAAAAAAA